AACTCTGCCTCGGGCTTCCTGTAGTCAGCTGCTGGTCAGTTTCAGCAGCGGCTGAATCTGGACGCCAGTTCCTACTTACATACAAATTCAACTTAAGAACAAACCTACAGTCCCTATCTTGTACGTAACCCGGGGACTGCCTGTATTCCTGAATAGCTGATTCAAGGGTAGCTATAGAAGAATTGCTATTCTGGAATATTTTTATTAGTCAGTTTCCCCTGTAGTCAGCTGCTGGTCAGTTTCAGCAGCGGCTGAATCTGGACGCCAGTTCCTACTTACATACAAATTCAACTTAAGAACAAACCTACAGTCCCTATCTTGTACGTAACCCGGGGACTGCCTGTATTCCTGAATAGCTGATTCAAGGGTAGCTATAGAAGAATTGCTATTCTGGAATATTTTTATTAGTCAGTTTCCTGTGGGCCCACAAGGCTTAAGGGATTTAAGGACACAAGTCACATTGACTCTTAAATCTCATGCTTCAGCCTCAGTAAATTTGACTTCCAAACTAGGGATGTAAAGGAGTAGTTGACTATATAATTAACCAATAAGCCTAGGCTTATTGGTTAATCTAGTCGAATACTCGCATCCTCCCGCCCCCGCCTCTGTATCAGAGGCAGCAAGGAGCAGGGGGAGCTGGCTTAAAAGCCGCACCAGTTCTGTGGTGCCGCATGCCCCCTCCCCTGTAATACTGCCCCTATCCGAGGCAGCATCATGGGGGCGGGGTATGGGAGGCTGCCGCAAAGCAGCCTCTGCCCATGGTGAACCCAGGCGGACCCAGGCTCACCATGGGCAGAGGCTGTTGCACATCTGTAGTGAGCAGAGTGGCGTGTCGGGGCTCCCCAGGGGTGGGGCTGGAACGCACTTAGAGATTAAGGTAGGGTCTGGAAACCATGGGAAGAACTCTTCCTTTGTCATCCAAGCACCAACATTCAATGTTGTCTTCCTAGGCTTTGGTGCTGTACTCCTCCCCTAGATAAATTTCTCATTGTTTGTTTTGTGGCTCTTGCTGTGCTGAAAAATACATTTTAGTGTAATTGACCATGAGCGGCAACAAGCTGTTTGTCAGAGCCATCAGTGCATGTCGATTCTTTAAGAGCCGTGACATTTGTGCTTGTGCAGATCAGTAATGATTAACATTAGCGATGCTTGCAGAGATTAAGTGATGGTGTCTGTCTTGTTTTTTTTATCATGTGCTTTCTCAATTCAAAGTGCAAAACACAGCAAGGCTCATTTTAGGCTTAGCAGTCCCAACACACTTTTTTGCCAAGTTGAATATTGCTCAAAATTGTTAGCTTAGTTGTATAAGCTGGTGGTGATGGGAGTGGGGAGGAAAAGAACTAGACAAAACAAGTCAGATTTGCACCTTACCCTATGTCGGTGGGTAGAACAAAGGTTGGCCAAAGACAGCTTCACAATGTGGCTGGGATTGCTAACTTTTTTGATCACCATTGCCTTTTTAGAAGGGGTCAAGTGAGGCATGTGGATTTGACCGTGGCTCCAATCCCTTTTTGTATTGAACATCTGTTAGCTTTGGGAAGCAGCAGCTGCGATTTGCAGAATGATGTCAGCAAATCAGAATTTCTCCTAGGACTGCTCCTGAATCTGCTTTTCAGTAACAGGCTGTGCCTTTGAGGCATGATTTAGCTGGAGAAGAGTGCACAAGTGAAGTGGAACCATGAGAGAGGGGAGAGTTTTGTGTGTGAGGAGAAAATAAATTTGTTAGCATGAGTTCCTTGCACCTCTGCTCACAATACTCTGCTACCAGGCATCAAGGCTGAGATTCTGTAGTGAAGTTTAGTATAAATCTTCAGCTATATGATACATATATTCATATATATGAAGATTTATCCAATTTCTGGTAATTTTGGAAGTGGCCTTTTTGTTTTTTGAATGGTGATGTTTATTGGGGGTGTATGGTGCAGATTAGAGGAGAGAGGAAACCAAACGCTAACTTATGAATCTCATTTGTTTGCCATAAAAGGGATCTTTCCTATATTAAAATCATGGATGTTGGAAGGAGTTACCTTGTGAATAGAGTAATGGACCATATCCAAAGCCGGATCGTCTACTACCTCATGAATATCCACGTAACTCCTCGCTCTATCTACCTCTGTCGACATGGAGAAAGTGAACTGAATCTGAAAGGGCGAATAGGAGGTGATACTGGACTATCCTTTAGGGGGAAAGAGGTAAGATAATTTTTATTAAGTGGCTTCAAACAATTCATTGCCTTGTGTGCATGGGTGTTGACGTTGTTCGTGGAGGATTGGTGCATCTCTGATGGTTAGCCAGTATGGTCAGGGATGCAACAGATCCAGATGTCCTTAAACCTCCGACTTCCAGAACCTGGGATTGAATGACCGGGGGATGCATCACTTAAAACTGCCCTGTTCTGCTCATTCCCTCTAAAAGCATTTGTCACTGGCCACTGTCAGACAGGATATTGGGTTAGATGAGCCCTGAGTCTGATCCAGTCTGGGTGTTATGTTGTTGACTATCTCTTACTGTTTCCTTTCTTTCTTCTATCCTTTCCTTATAACACATATAAATAGCCCTTTTTCCTGGACTGTAATTTCATGCAAATGGGTAAGAGGTTTGGGTGGGCAAGCTGGGTTGTAGTTTGATGCTAGCTTTTTATATACGACTTCTCTTTCCATTCTTCACTTTGTTTAACTTGAGCTCAAAGCACTTATTTTAAGTTGGGTTTTGGTTTTTAAAACCGGTAGGACTCCTTAGTTAATGGGTGCCTGTGAACCTTGTATTAAGGTGAAGATGGAAGAAGAAGCTATTTTGGGGCTGGCATGGGGTACTAAAGAGGATTGTTTTCATCTTTGTATAATTTTTTTTCTTTTTCTGAACAGGAATTGTCATATTCTTAGGGAAAGTCTAAAGAGCCTTTTTAAAGTAACGTAATGAATTTGTAGTGAGGGGCAAGAAGCTTTTGGGTTCCAACTCAAGCACAGAATATCAGCACTGGTGGTCCCTCACCCAGCCTCTAATGTGTTTTTCAGTTTGCCAAGTATTTGGCGCAGTTCATTAATGAGCAAAACATCAAGGATCTGAAAGTTTGGACCAGTCAGATGAAAAGGACAATTCAGACTGCGGAGGCTTTGGGTGTGCCTTATGAACAGTGGAAGGTTTTGAATGAAATAGATGCGGTAAGTGCTCCTGGGTTTCTTTTTTTGTAACTGTTTGAGAAAGTGATTCTGTTTTGGGTGAAGGATGGGGAGTACTTTATTGTGCAATAGTAGGCCTTGTGTGGATTAGAAAATATCTACACTACGCAACTTTTATGACAAAGGTGTGTCAACACAGCCCTGGTGCTAAAGGACAGCATGTGTGAATGCTATTTGTTGGTTGCTGACAAAATACTTCTGCTTCCAAGGAGTGGCTTTTGCTTTGTTGGCAGAAGAGTGCTTCTGCCAATGAAGTAGTGTTCACACTTGCTTTGGCGCTTTATGGGGTGGAAGAGGGTAAAGCACCCATGAACAACAAAAGTTTTGTCAATCAGGTGCAAGTGCAGACATAGCCAATTAACATTATGGTTCTGTGGATTGGAAGGTTATGGCTTTTCCTCATTAGTGGTTTTAAATGTTTTGAAAGGTGCCCTAATGAATTTAGACCTGGTCTGTCTTCCTCATTTAAATAATATGCAACTACAGAGTTGCACATTTCATATCTTCTGTAGGCGGAGCAAGGACACTTTATTCCCCACCCTCACAAGCTCCCTCTCAGTTGATAGGGACTCTGCAGTGTTCTCTCCTCTCTCCCACCCCACTCAAACTCCTCTTCCTCCTCACCACTTTTAAAATCCCCTCTCCCCCTTTCAGGGAGATAAGTCATTTAGGGTGTCTGCATTTTGAACTGTGCAGAGCTAAGAGGTGAGGAAGAGATGAAGATGTTAATGGCTGTTCTTTGATATGTAGACAGTTGCAGTCTTTTTGAAGCTAGAAACTCTTGCATGTTCCCTCATTTCACACTTCTGATTTTCTGACTTTCCACAAATCAATAGCTTTCTGCTCATTGATATCTAGAATGTTCCCTGAATTTTTGCAGTGAATCATATGCAACATTCAAAGGTTATTTCATTATAGGCAAGCAAAGAAATGCTCCTCAGTTGTGTGTTGGACCTGGCTAATTAAAAGGATGCCCATTAGAATTCTAGGTCCAAAGTTTCAGGAGTGCTCTTAGGAGAGAGAATAATTGTTAATATTTGAGACTTCTCGCTTATTTACCTTTTGTAAGGCATATTATAAGTTTTGAATCTGCTTTGGAGACTACAGGTAGGGTCCTTGAAACTGATAGTTTTCCCGGGTGTCTGTCAACTGTATGCTGGTATGGTATTATCTGGTATGGTATTATGGTCACCATTGTGATGACAGCTAGGGGTGTGATAGTGTAGATGGTTAACTCATCAGTTAACCTTCGTGGTTACATGCAGCTTTCCCTCCCCTGCTTTGCCATATCTATATCCGAGGCAGCAGGGTGGGGGACAGGCAGGACCTGGTGTACTTGGGGAGCCAGTGTTCCTGCCCACCCCCATGCTTCTGCTTCCGTATCAGAGGCAACAGTGGGGTGGGAAGGGTGGCTGCTCCACAGGAGCTGGTGCAAAAACGGCTCTCCACAACACAGGGAGCCGCCTCAACCCTGTGTGTAAACATATAACCACTGAGATTTTCAGCAGGTATATGTTTACCTGAGTAAACACGTTTTAACATCCCTAATCTCTAGAAAAAAGGGATTTTATATGTAAAATGTTTCTCTACATTAGTATGACTGACATTGTTGAAGTCTGTGTGAATGACTAGGTCACCCATAGGTTTAATAAATTACATAGATGCTTCAAGTCTGCCACTGTGGATATGGGAGATAAAGATCTACTGTTGTGCCCATGGGTCTGAGGGCTTCCTCACGTCTTCTGTGCCTTTTGTTTTTATTACCCTTAGGGAGTCTGTGAAGAAATGACATATGAAGAAATTCAGGAAAACTTTCCTCTTGAATTTGCTTTGAGAGACCAAGACAAATACAGATACAGATACCCCAAGGGGGAGGTACGTGTCTTTCTTTTTATTGAGAAGTTAAGGAAGCATCATGTTTTCTTAGGTATAGGTGCCAGCTTCATCCAGGCCCAGAGGAGGGAGGGTGCTCAACCGCCTTCTCTGCGCAATTCCACCCCCCTCCAACCCCTCTCCAAGCTTCCACTCCCACGCCTACCCCGCCTCTTGCCTACCCCCTCCTGAGCGGGCTTTATCCCCGCTGCTCCTCCTTCCTCCCTGAGCCTGCTGCACACAGCGAAATAGTTGATTGCAGCAGGTGCTTGGGAGGAATGGTGGAGGAGTTAATCCACTGGGCTCCTGGGAGGATTGGCGGGGCATGTGTGGGGAGTGGGGGGAGGGGGAGTAGAGGGGTGCTATGCACTTGCTATTTTTTTCCATCAGTGCTCCAGGCCCGGAGCACCTTGGAGTCTGTGCTTACAATGCTAGATATCTTGAAGAAAATTAAGCAATATGTTGTTGTCCTTTTCACACAGAAGGACTACAGGAGCTTGTCTATCTTATTTATCCAAAACATTTTAGCTGAATATTATACCCTTTGTGTACGTTTATGGGGTTTTTGGCTTTTAAATAAATGCCATATTTGGAAATATGCCTGGAAGGATTTTCTTGTTACCATGGATTTTATATTGATAGTCTGGTTGTTTCACAAGGTGATTGAGCAGGTTTTAATATTATTAGACATGCAGGTGTGTGCGTATCAACAGTGCCATTTATAATTGTCCTTTTTGTGTGTGATAAATGTCACCTATAACATGCATTTTTGGTTCAGTGCTGTGCAGTACTGTAGATGTATTGGCTTCCCTTGTAAGCTAGCAAAAGTTGTCCTGCATTTCAGAAACAAGTGAACCTGCTTGCAGCTTTACGAGGAGACTAATATCAAGTCATTAAACTGAGTCAATTAATGTATAGTCACATGGTCTGTCTTTGTAGGAATCATAGTGGCAGTGAATTGAGCTAATTAGAACACCTGTTTTGATGTTTGTGCAGCGGCCTCCATTGGCACATAAACAGACCTTTAATTCTCTCTGCCATCAATAGCGTAGTCCAGAATAGGTGAGTGATAAAATGTTTTCATGTAGTGATGACATGATCACTAAACTGAAACGTGTTGAATGTATTCAAACAAGAATTGTTGGTTTTTTACATCAGTGCTAGCTCCAAACGATTAACACGCATTTCAGACTATTCCATTGCTTGTAGTGATTTTTGTTAATTTCTGAAAATAAATATATTTGTTGGTGATGACAGCAAAGCTGAGTCATTCAGTGTTACCAGGCTGAGATACATTCAGTATTAGTGTTGTCAAAATCAAAATAAATTAAGCTTTGGACCATTCGTGCCATTTATATTTTGGCTTTAACATACATGCAAGAACTATTTAAGGTTGCTTGAAAAAGTGGCAGGTACAAAGTGGGCAGTGGCAATGGAAGTTTCCTTTTCGTATCTTGTCAGTATCCTTGAAAGTCAGCTGGAGAGACTTTTTGGAGTTGACAAGGTAGCCTCTGTGAAAAAGGTATCTAGAGTTTGTTAGAGAATGTTACCTTCTCTGTAGTGTTTTCAAACCAATAAGCAGAATTAGGGCTATTAAGCTGAGAAATTACTTAAAGGGTTTTTTAGAAATTATTATAAAATCCTATTCAACTTCATACACATTTTTTGTGCAGTACCCAGGCTCTTATCTCTGTAGAGTGGAAGTTATTGCAGTAATAAAGTACACTTACTATTTTATTGTTGTTGTGTGTAATATGGATAGTGGATAAACAGATGGACATTACATGAGGACTAGTTTTAGTAACTTCCGTGCTGAAAGCTATATGTTTTTGTTTAAATAATAATTTAGACATGGTACTGTTCAACAACAACAACAACAACAAAAAATGTTTAGAATCTGACCTTGATATAAAAGTCAGTATAGAGCAGCTATCTAAATGTGAGCCCACTCATGATCTTCTTGCTGCAGTTAAATAGTTGTGCATAAGATGACCCAAACAGGAAGGGTTATGGATTAATTGACAAACGTTAGGTCTATACTAGAGACATGCACAGTTTTACTGTTGCAGCTGTGTCACTATAAGATCTCCCAGGTGGATGCTCTGTGCCGAGGAGAGAGAGTTTTCCCGTTGGCATAATTAAAACATCCCCCCCACAAGCAGCGTTTATGTTGGTCCTTCTGTAGGAGAAGCTTATGTTGGGCAGAGGTGTATTTTCTTTCACACCCCAATTGACAATAGTTTTCTGGACAAAAGTGCAGTATAGAAACTGCCTAAAATGGGACAATGAGTTAAGGTTTTTATTTTTTATTTTAATCAAGCAGGCATAATCCAGAAACTTGGAAAATAACAAAAACAAAAAATATCCTTGGACAAGGAATAAAGTATGAATAAGTGATATCAGAGCATAGAAGTTCACGAAAATAAAGGAATGGCAGGCTAAATATTAATAGTATAATTGTGAGAGGGCTAAAGGATAATTGAGATAATGACTAAGGAGCAAGGCACTTCCTCTACAGAGTGTGTGTGTGTGTGTGGGAAGTTTATATATAATTTTTTTAGTGTGTGCTATACAAATGTATGACCTCCTTTCTAGTCAATATCGTGTCTTAATAAATTGTTTATAAGATAACTAGTATTAGTTGTTTCCTCTGAATATGTAGTCGGGGCGGATATAGGGCAGGGCGAGCGGGGTGGCCTCCCTGGGCCCCGCGCTTCAAAAAGCCCCGCTCATGCGCCGTGGCAAAGGGGGGCCCCGCAAGATTATGCTGCCCTGGGCCCCGCAAAATGGTCATCTGCCCCTGTATGTAGTAATTCCTGCCTAAGTGAGCCTCTGACTGCACTGTATGCTGTTGCTTTTCCAGTCATATGAAGATCTCGTTCAGCGACTGGAGCCAGTAATTATGGAGCTGGAAAGGCAGGAAAATGTGCTTGTTATATGTCACCAAGCAGTTATGCGCTGTCTGCTTGCCTACTTTCTGGACAAGACTGCAGGTATGTGTTCATAATCAGTATTGATGTTATGATACAGTGGGGCCACCTTAGCCTTGTAAATGGTCTTAGCAACTTATGAAGCCCCAAGCACATAGTTCACTCATCCCTTGACAAGATGTTAATATGACAGTAAATTCTAACGCTAACTCGCTTGCATATCAAGGATTACTTCTCTTGGGTGAATGGAAAAGGAGATTTTTTTTTTCATGGCTGACCTTCCTATATTTCTGCATGCCTGGTTTGTCATTTATATTTAACAGTTCCTGTCTTGGAGTAAACAAATGTTATTCTGCCCAACCAAAAAACTGGTCTCTGTGTCTCTTAGGAAGAAAAGTTTTTTTTTTTTTAAATAGTTTTAATATAAAAAACATTCCAGGTAAGTGAACTTTCTTGTCCTCAGTGTTTCATATGTATTTTTGTTTTTTAATTTCTTAGAACAACTGCCTTATCTCAAGTGCCCACTCCATAGTGTCTTAAAGCTAACCCCAGTGGCTTATGGTAAGTTAATTTTTTTTTGTAAACATGGTATTATCAATGTCATCCCTAACTTTATGTACCTTTAATAAAATAAAGTCCTTTCCAATATAACTTTCCCAATATCAATACAGTTATTTAGTCAAAACACTTTTTCATTAAATATCTTTACAAAACAAATAATTAAATTGATCTAACTGCTGAGGGCCAAAATCTTGGTGTTGATTATATCAGAAAACTGTATGATAATGGAGAGATAAAGTACCAGTTAGTGAGACAGAATACACTTTCTCTCATGTAGTCATTAATTTAGTCAAAATGATGTATCGCTAATTCCACCAGCAAAGGCCTCTTGATTGTGTGTGTGTACAGGACCAGCTCTATGGGACCCCAATTCTGGTTGCCTCCTGTGGGCGCTGTTTTTAATACCACTGCTAATGAAAAATAATCAAGTGACATTCTGAAGGTTGTGCATAAAATGGAAGTGCGGTAATTGTCAAACTTTTACTCCCAAAGAGGCTGCTGATTGTTTTTTCTGAAGCATTTATTTGTGGTACATCTTTTTTAAAACAATGGATTAGGTTTTTAATTTTTTTAATTAATTTTATTTCCTTTTTTTCCTGGCTGTCTCCCCACTTTCTGCAAAACTTTTTATTAATAGTTATTATTGTTGGATTTGTTTTCTGTAAATGTGAATATTTAATTTGTTAGAAATCTACAGCATACAAAAATAAAACTTTGAATACTTACTAGAATGGTTTTCACACATCATTCATAAACTCATCACTATTTAGATTCTGAAGTGCATCTAATTCAGGTGTCTATCTTTAACATGCTTCATTGTCCTTGAATTGTTTAATTTTACACTGTGATGGTTAATCAATCTTCAGAAGGTTAACTGTAGAGGAAGACAAACATCTCATAATTTATCTGGGAATTGGTTACAAATAGCTTCTGTTCAGATCTAAATAAGATTTAGGAAATTATTGTTAAAATCTGTTGGAATGCATACCTGAAAAAAATATTTCTATAGACTTGAAATGATCTCCAGAAGTAGTCTTGCTTTTTAAACAAGCCAACAGAACTCTTCACTGTAATGACACCCGGTGTTCAAAATCATTTACAACAAGCTGGGAATTCCGGTATTTAAAAATATCTCTGAGAAGCCAGAAGATCTCCCAGTTCCAAGCTATTCTAGAGTTTCACATAGAAATTGTACTGGGATATTAAATGATTTCAAGTACTTTATAGTGTGTAGTTTGACATTGGGGCCCAAATGCCATTAACAGTATTTTAAGACATTAGATATAAAAATAGAGTTAATGAGGCCCCCTCTAACACTAATTGACTAAAACCGGGGGAGAGGAGTGTTTGTGAGGAAGGATTTTTGTATTTGTGTGATAGGTTTACACTGCAGCTACCAATTATTTAGTAATCTCATCAACTGAAACCATGACATTTGACAAAGTTGTTGTCCTCAAGAAGTTTGGCTTTAGAAGTTAAAATTTATACATATTTTAATTTTCTAATATTTCTATGAAACTCTTTAATATTGCTGTGTCACTTAGATTCATGAGACAAAAGGTGAAAAAACATGAGATATTAAATACCCATATGTGTTCCATGTGTCTGGGAGACCTGTGTCCTCTAGTCAGTTGCTATTATCTGCTGCTCTGAGCTTAACATATCTTAGTCCTTTTGTTATGCATATAACTGTTGTATTTTAGTTCCTGTAAGTATCTGCTGTGTGTCAGATTATTCCCCAAGAACCTACTTGGCAGGGTGTTCATCCTTAGTGACTGGTAGGGATGGACAGATGGGCTCTGTTTGTTATCTTAACACTCCCCTAGCAGCCCATGCTGAGACATCAGCTTCAGAGTTAACCCTCTGATGCTGTATAAACTTTTATATGAAACTTGTGCTTTTGGAGCTCCCCTTGAGGAGACAAGGCAAGGAGTTGGGGAAGTTTTTCTTCTAAGATTTTCCGTCCATGAGCAGAGTGAGTGTTGTGCACCAATATTGAGGTCATGTGCGTGACGCCCACCAGTGGTGCTGTTCCCTGAGAGACCCCAGCCCGGCCCCCATTGCTGGGACCCTGAGTCCTGCTCCCAGGCAACACCCCCATCCCTGACCTTGTGCACCGCACCACAGGCCCTGGCCCCAGCTCCTGCAGTTGCCATGCGACCTCGCCGTGGCCACAAGCTTCAGCCCTGGGAAAGGGCTAAAGCTGGGGCCAGGGCTGGGTGGTGGCGGCCTAGCTGCTTCCCCAGGTGGGGCCGCGTAGTGGGAGGCTGTCCTGTGTGCTAGGGGTGGAGCTGACCCTGGTTCTGGTCCCAGCACACGGGACAGCCGCCTGCCACGCTTCCCCGCTCTGGGGGCAGCTGGGCTTCCACCATGCAGACCTGCCCCTCTTTCCCCCTTACCACCAACAGCTTACCCTCCAGGAAGGGGAGTGCTGCTGTGTGCCTCTGCTGAGGAAGTGGGTGGGATTCAAGTTCTTTTTGCGCCTGCGCAGGCGCACACCCCAGGGGGAACCTAGGTCAGGGCCCTAAGAGACACTTTTTCAGTTAATGGCTAAGGGATAGACGGCTCAGAAGCTTGTGTGGAAATAGTTTGAGTCCAGCAGTTCCCCATTAGCTAGACAGTTTACTCAGAATAACACAGTGATCACAATACAGGACTATGTAGCACTTTAAAGACTAACAAGATGGTTTATTAGATGATGAGCTTTCGTGGGCCAGACCCACTTCCTCAGATCAAATAGTGGAAGAAAGTAGTCACAACCATATATACCAAAGGATACAATTTAAAAAAAAATGAACACATATGAAAAGGACAAATCAAATTTCAGAACAGAAGGGGGGTGGGGGTGGGCATGTGGGCAAGATTCACCAGCCAGACACCCAGAAAGTTCTCCATAGTAACTCCTATCATCCCTCCATTGACCTATTTCCCACTGATAATGAATGGTCAATTAGTTACCAAGATCATGTTACTTCATCAAACCATCCCCTTCATAAACCCATCTAGTTTAATCTTGAAGCCAGATAGATCTTTTGCCCCCACTACTTCCCTTGGAAGGCTGTTCTAGAACCTCACTCCTCTAATGGTTAGAAACCTTCGTCTAATCTCAAGTCTAAACTTCCTACTAGCCAGCTTATATCCATTTGTTCTTGTGTCCACATTGGTATTAAACTTAAATAATTCCTCTCCCTCCCTGGTATTTATCCCTCTAATATATTTAAAAAGTGCAATCATGTCCCCCCTCAGCCTTCTTTTGGTTAAAGTAAACAAGCCAAGCTCCTTGAGTCTCCTTTCATAAGACAGGTTTTCCATTCCTCGGATCATCCTAGTGGCCCTTCTTTGTACCTGTTCCAGTTTGAATTCATCCTTCTTAAACATGGGAGACCAGAACTGCACACAGTATTCCAAATGGGGTCTCACCAATGCCTTGTATAATGGCACTAACACCTCCTTATCCCTACTGGAAATACCTCGCCTAATACATCTCAAGATCGTATTAGCCTTTTTCACGGCCATGTCACAATGGCGGCTCATAGTCATTCTATAATCAACCAGGACTCCGAGGTCCTTCTCCTCCTCCGTTACTTCCAACTGATGTGTCCCCAGCTTATAACTAAAATTCTTGTTTTAATCCCTAAATGCATAACCCTTACACTTCTCACTATTAAATTTCATCCTATTGCTATCACTCCAATTTACAAGATCATCCAGATCTTCCTGTATGATATCCCGATCCTTTTCTGAATTGGCAATAGCTCCCAACTTTGTGTCATCCGCAAATTTTATTAGGACACTTCCACTTTTGGTGCCAAGATCAGCAATAAAAAGATTAAATAAAATTGGCCCCAAAACTGATCCCTGAGGAACTCCGCTAGTAACCTTCCTCCAACCTGACAGTTCACCTTTCAATATGACCCGCTGTAGTCTCCCCTTTAACCAGTTGCTTATCCACCTCTCAACTTTCATATTAATCCCTATCTTTTCCAATTTAACCAATAATTCCCCATGTGGTACTGTATCAAATGCCTTACTAAAGTCGAGGTAGATTAGATCCACTGCATTTCCTTTATCTAAAAAATCTGTTACTTTCTCAAAAAAGGAGATCAGGTTGGTTTGGCACGATCTACCTTTTGTAAAACCATGTTGTAATTTGTCCCAATTGCCATTAGCCTCAATGTCTCTAACTACTTTCTCCTTCAAAATTTTTTCCAGGATCTTACATACTACAGATGTCAAACTAACAGGCCTATAGTTACCCGGGTCGCTTTTTTTCCCCTTTCTTAAAAATCGGAACTATATTAGCAATTCTCCAGTCAAATGGTACAACCCCTGAGTTTAGAGATTTATTAAAAAATTTTGCTAATGGACTTAAATTCCTTTAATATTCTTGGATGAAGATTATCTGGGCCCCCCGATTTACTCCCAGTAAGCTGTTCAAGTTTGGCTTTTACCTCGGATATGGTAATATCTACCTCCATATCTTTAGTCCCATTTGTTAAGTTACCATTATCCCTAAGCTCTTCATTAGCCTCATTAAAGACTGAAGCAAAGTATTTGTTCAAATATTGGGCCATTCCTAGATTATCCTTAACCTCCACTCCATCCTTAGTAATTAACGGTCCTATTTCTTCTTTTTTTTTTCCTATTTATATGGCTATAAAACCTTTTACTATTGGTTTTAATTCCCTTTGCAAGGTCCAACTCTACCTGACTTTTAGCCTCTCTCACTTTATCCCTACAAGCTCTAACCTCAATAAGGTAGCTTTCTTTACTGATCCCTCCCATTTTCCACTCCTTATATGCTTTCTGCTTTTTCTTAATCACCTCTCTGAGATGCTTGCTCATCCAGCTTGGTCTAACACACCTGTCTATAAATTTTTTCCCTTTTCTAGGGATACAGGCTTCTGACAGCTTCTGCAACTTTAACTTAAAATAATTCCAGGCCTCCTCCACTTTAAGATCCATAATTTCTTTAGTCCAATCAACTTCCCTAACGAATTTCCTTAATTTACTAAAGTTAGCCCTTTTGAAATCAAAAACCCTAGTCTCAGATTTATTTTTGTTTATCCTTCCATTTAATTTAAACTGAATTAGCTCATGATCACTCGAGCCAAGGTTGTCTCCTACAACCATTTCATCTATGAGGTCCTCGCTACTCACCAAAACCAAATCTAAAATAGCATCCCCCCTTGTTGATTCAGCAACTACTTGATGAAGGAATTCATCAGCTATCACATCTAGGAAAATCTGAGCCCTATTATTATTACTAGCACTTGTTCTCCAGTCTATATCTGGAAAGTTGAAATCTCCCATGATTACACAGTTTCCATGAGCATTTACTTCATTAAAAACATTAAAGAGGTCTCTATCCATATCCAAATTGGATCCTGGTGGTCTATAACACACCCCAAGCACTATCCCAGGGGAGGATCTGATAGTTTTCTTCCCCAATGTGATTTTTGCCCAAACAGACTCTGTCTTCTCCATTCTATCACTTTTTATTTCTTTACAATCTACCTCATCTTTGATATACAATGCGACTCCACCACCTTTACCCTTATTTCTGTCTTTCCTAAACAGCACATACCCTTCAATACCTGTACTCCAGTCATGCCTAGTATTCCACCATGTTTCTGTTATTCCTATAATATCTGGTTTCACTTCCTGGACCAATAGCTCTAGTTCCTCCATTTTGTTACCTAGGCTCCTTGCATTGGTGTACAAACATCTTAATTTTTGCTGGTTGGCCTCACTCACATTCTTTACCCAATTTGGCATGGACGTTGTACCTCCAATATGACCTATTAGACTAGTATCCACCCTACCCTTCCTCATGTACATTCTCCTACCCCCAGCTATATCCTTTCTTACTTCGTTTTCCTCCCTCTCAGTATTGAAATCCGGCTTAGAGATTACCTGGACATCTCCCAACCGTCTCTCCCAAATTCCTAGTTTAAAGCTCTCTTAATCAGTTGAGCCAGCCTCCATCCTAGAAGTCTATTCGTTTTCCTCCCTCTCAGTGTTAAAATCTGGCATAGAGATTACCTGGGCATCTCCCAACCGTCTCCCCCAAATTCCTAGTTTAAAGCTCTCTTAATCAGTTGAGCCAGCCTCCATCCTAGAAGTCTATTTCCCTCCCTACTTAGGTGAAGTCCATCCCGAGAGAACAGTCCTCTGTCCATAAATGCCTCCCAGTGACCATACATCCCAAAGCCCTCCTTATAGCACCATTGCCTAAGCCATCTATTGATCATCATAATCCTGTCACATTTTAGTTGCCCTTCTCTAGGAACAGGCAGAATCCTACTACAGATCACCTGAGCCTCATTTCCTTGAGCGTCCTCCCCAGGCTAGCATAGTCTCCCTTAATTCGTTCCAGCAAGAATCTAGCCGTATCATTTGTTCCTACATGAAGGATGATCAATGGATTCCTTCCTGCTCCCTTAATAATCCTCTTCAACCTCAGTTCCACATTCCGTATCTTAGCACCTGGCAGACAACACACCTCTCATCAAGTGTGTTTGTAATAATGGGGACGACAAAAATTCAGAAATGTTTGCAGGCAAATTGACTCCTTACTAGTTCCGTTAATTCAGAACGTTAAATAATAATTCATTTGAACTGCAACACTGAAACGTGTTTTCTGCACCCTTCAGAAGCATTGTGAAGGCTTGTGGGAGTCAGGAGTAATGGAGAAGCTGATGGAGAAGGAAGTGATTGCTGGAAAGAAACCTGGGAATGAGCGTGGGGGGCTGTTGGGTGTGGGTGTGAGAAGTATGGAACAGTTCGGGTTTCGGGGGCAGAGATTTTTAGGGAGCCTCACCCATGCAGATCTTGGCTGACTTCTCATCTCTCCCATTGGCTCAGGTATATCTGCCCTATCCCCTTGTGCCCATGCATCTCTCTGTCGCCATTTGGCCTTCACCCTCATTCAGTCACCCCTCCTCATGCCCCATGTGGCCCTGCACCTTCTTTTAGCCACTCCCTCCCTGTAACCTGTGTGGCCCTGCATCCCTACTCAGCCATCCCCTTCCACACCCCTGTGTCCTTACACCAGGGTCCGGCAAAAATATGGCCTGAGGGCTGGATCCAGCTTGCCAAATGTTTGCCTCCAGCCTGCCATGGATTTCTGGGCCGCTAAAAGTCCTATGCCTGCTGTGTCCCTGGCTGCTCTGGTCCTGGAAGACGCAGATGCGAGATACAGGGTCTGACGGCGAGGTCTTTACCATAGGAAACTCCGACCAGTGGGACACTCAGGCAGGCAGGCTCCCTGCTTGTCATGGTGGCCCCATGCTGCTCAAAGCAGCTGGCTGCTACTGGCAGGCAGGTCTCTGGGCACCACTTGGAGACAGAGGAGGGGAAGTTGGTCTCCACATGCCTCTCCTGCCCCAGAACTATTGTCACCTATCCCATTGGCTGATTTCTGGCCAATGGGAGCTGCAGGGGTGGTGCTTGCAGTCATGGGAAGTGCACAGACGCACTGCTCCTTTCCCCCAGTATGTGCGCACAGACATGTTTGTCAGCAGCAGCCACCCACTTTGAGCAGCGTAGGGCCACCATGAGTGTCCAGCTGTGCTCATGGTTGGGAGCTGCCTATGGTAAGTGCCTCGCAGCCAGAGCCTACATCTTGCACCCCCGTCTGCCCCTTCCCCAACACCCTGCCCCAAGCCTGGGGCTTTGAACCTTTAAGCACTGGAATGGGTTACCTAGGGAAGTAGTGGAGTCTCCATCCCTAGAGGTGTTTAAGTCTCAGCTTGACAAAGCCCTGGCCGGGTTGATTTAGTTGGAATTGGTCCTGCCTAGAGCAGGGGGCTGGACTTGATGACCTTCTGAGGTCTCTTCCAGCTCTATGATTCTATGGTTCCTGTGTACGGGGATAAGTGCCAGTGGGAAAACTAGTAGGGTTCTTCTTTAGGGACTGTTTCTCATCTCTGGGTCCCTTTTATGGGTGTGTCTGCAGGATATAGCCATCTGGTGTAGTATTTGCTCTCATTGCTAGTTGCTATTGGCTATCTCAGTCAGAAGAGATCTGCCTCTAAGGAATGTAACACACTTGTATCATCCTGACTGTTGATGTAGCTCTAATTTTCGGAAGTATGGCAGATTTCTGCTTGATTTGCATTTGGAAAAGAATGTGCGACTGATTCACAGTAATTAGTAAGTGAACTGACTAATTAGAAAACACATAATGTATCACAAATGATACTTTGCTGTAATGTCGCATGAGGTTTCAGAGCATGTACTAGTCAGTAGGTATTTTGTAGTGTACTTTATAAAAAATAATGGTGTATTAATATGAAATCTGAACTACAGCCCTTGGTTATTAAACATTGCTAAGGAGTTAGGACAGACCACCAAATTTCAGAGAATGCAGATTAGTGGCAAGTGCTTTGGATGAACTTCTTCTGTGTTTTGAGATGATGAAGAGAGGGGGGTAAATTCTTTCTCCATTCCAACCTGTAGCAGTTTTGCACTCTGCAAACAATCATTTCATTTTAAGTGAACTGGATAGTCACTACTCTGTAAATGGATCCGCTTTTGCAGGAGGCCCCTGTTAAAGCTAAGTATAGCTTTCCTGCTTTCTCTGAGCTTGCTGACTTATCCACTGGGGAAAAAGTGGCTTCTCCCCAGAAGTTAGTTTTAGATTTTGATTTGTTAACATGTTAGGTAAATGTTAATATCCTTACCTGTGCCAGCCTTAGTAATGGGGGATTTTAAAAATCTGAAATATACAGGTTTTTGTTCGTATTCAACATTACTAAAAATCTGAGGCCAGTACTTTCCTTCTGCATAACAATGTGGTGCTAAGGCTAAAATAGCCTACAAAACAGAAGTGGGTATGAAATATTATGATTGTGTGTATGCCCGGCATCATTTTGGTGGGTTTTTAGAAAAAGTGAATTACTTATCTTCCGAGTTTTACTGAAAGTACTGAGAATGTGAGGTTGAAGATAATGAGACCTGGATTCATCACCAAACTGAGATAAATACTGATCCCTTTGGTACTGGTACATTGTGAGGTCAACGACAGTCAGAACTTAGCAAAGCAATCCAAGTGAAAGCCAAGAGCTGAAAGGGGGGAAAAAAAAAGGGTGATACAATATGTTGCTTTAAAAAAAAAAAAGTTACAATATAAGTGAGTGCTAATCAGGTTAATTTCTGTCGACAGGTTGTAAGGTGGAATCTATATTCCTGAATGTCGAAGCAGTAAACACGCACAGAGATAAACCAGAGGTAGGACAAGTCTTGAACACAAATATCTTACTTAACGCATTGCATTTTCCGAAGTGATTTTTTTATGATGATGTCTATTACCCAGATGTAGAATTGAATTGCTAGAAATGTTGAGCATATTTAATTTTACACACCAACTTTGTGTAACCAGTAAGTTCCTCATCTGCATACGTATTGTCTGCTAGATATGTTTGTGAAGAGAAATTTTCTGTCTGACATTTTCTAAAATGGTATGATTTCAGAAAGCCAGAATTTACCTCTTACAGAAATATAAACCATGTGTTTCTAACTCAATGTCCTTTTTATTTTTATGTTAGACAGCACAAACACCAAAGATTTAGTAACGAATAGAGCAATGAATAAGCTATTTAGTCTGTTGGGAGCTAGTTTGTATCTATTTCCTTTTACAAGTGCATAATAATGTATATTAAACTTTAGAGGAAAATTATTGAGCCCTTTTCCATTGTGGAATTGGCATAATCCACTATGCATTTCCAAAATGTGCAAGAGGTGTTGTTAGGAAGCATTAATGAAGTCTGTCTTGCTTTACGCTGCCTGCAATTACAAGGCTTTGTCTATCCTGAGAATGTTTAGCAATGCCAGCTATGGTGGAAACACTGGCTCAGAAGAGGAACAGGTGATTTTATATCTGGCTTCTAGGCCACCTCAAAGCAAGCCCAGCCAATTCAGACTTCATCTCTTCACTTCAAAAGATAGCAGTGTGTTTACACTGAGATACTGAAATACCTCAACTGTAGCTAGTCAAAGTAAACCTATACACACCCCACCTAGGGGGCCTAATGGCTTAGAAAAAAGAGATGGAATGTGTGTAAGAAGAGTTAGGAAGTCAGGCTCCTGGTAACTTACTACATTCTTGCTGTATCAGAGTATGAGATGCTGTGTGTGGTGCCACACTATTCTGTAGTAACATGAGTTTGGTTTGCCCATATTACTCCAAAAGTGCCACTCGTGTATTATAAAAGTTTGGTAAGCTTGCTTCTTGTGCCTCTAGCTTTTGTATCTACAGTCCTTAAGTCTTCCTTGAAGTGAGCTGGCTACCATTACAAAGAATAGTATGGGCAGAGTTAAAGCAAATCGATTAGTGCAGTGAAGTTAATTTATATTTTAGTGAGAAGTTGGGATTTGTGGTGGTGGTTGAAGTTGTGTGTATGAAGATACGAGTTTTTGAATGTTTGTGTGTATGAAAATGATATGGGTGTGTGTGTAAGTGTAATATGGCATATGTTTGCATATATGTGGCATTTTAACAGGGCTTTGCAAGAAGTTTATCGTCTTAGTTCAGGGATGGACAACCTAAAGCTTGCCTGGATCTGGCCCCATGGGGTGGGAGCACACACAGTCTATTAGCATGGGCCTGGCTAATTTTTCTGTGGGTCAGCAGCCCCGACCCAAAAAAGGTTCCACACCCTGTCTTAGTGTCTTAGTTATATTTAGTTGACCAAACTTTGGCTTCCATAGCGGTTATAGTCAAGTGCTTTCATTCTGTGTGGGTACTTTTACTATGTTTAAACTTTATCACTTTCTTCTTTTCCTTCATACATTATATTTTGCCACATTTTTAATCGATTCCACTTAAACCCACTTAATAGGAACAGCATAAATAATGGGAAGCTTTCTGTGGGAACTTGTATCAAAGTAGTAGCCGTGTTAGTTTGTATCTGCAAAAACTATGAGTAGTCATGTGGCACCCTAAAGACTAACAAATCTATTTGGGCATAAGCTTTCATGGGTAAAAATCTACCTTGTCGGATGTGTCTACTGCTGATAAACCTGAGTTTGCCACTGTGTCTTATAGCAGGCCATGTATTTCCAGGGAATTGCTATTAGGAATATTCATTATGATGTTAGCTTATTAAAAATGTTTGTTTGGGAAGAGAACCTGTTGAGGCACTGCATTAGCTCTGAGTGTTACGCAAGCGTTACTGAGCACCTAAAGCTGTTACTTCTCACTTTTTTACCTGACGTGCGTCACAAACTGTAACATATGGCAATGCTAAAATGTAATAATGTTTGGGAAGAAAGGCAACAACTGTGTACAGTAATGGAGCTAGTTAAAAGTTTTGGCCAAGGTTAGCAGGTCAAACTCAGGTTTTTCAGGGAAGACCTATGTGGATTTTGTTACCGATAAAGAGTCACAAACGACCTGTACTGAAGATGTCTTCTGAAAGACCCACTATGAATAAACTAATGAGGCATGATGAAATGCTAAGTTGATTAGGTTAGGATTAGAGTGTGGTATTAGAGTATAAATTGTTTATTTTATACTCTGTGTGTCGATGGTAACAGCTTCTGTAAAATCTAATTTTAAAATACTCTTTATTAATGCTGAACATCTATAATATTTCATTTTTTTTAAAGTTACCAATTTATAAAATATAAATCAGACTATTTGCCTAAGAACTGTACAAGGTGTACTCATCAACATAAATTCCATCTTAATATATAAGGCACGCTACTGTCCATAGCAGAAGTTGAAAATATTGTTTTAAAATACTTTTTATGCACTCTTTAAAAAAAATCAACTATCCTTTTTACGTTGCAGAAATAAATATAAAGGAGTAGAATAACTGACCTTTCCTGTGTTTTCTATAAAAACTATAATCCATCTGAATTTGGACCACAGATCTGGCTGTTCATGTACAGTAGCATCAGATTTGTAATGACTTTAGTCTTGGGGCACGTCTAAACTACATTCCTCTTCTGAAAGAGGAATGTAAATGAGCCTGATGGAAAATGCAAATGAAGTGCAGATTTACAAATCTCGCACTTCATTTGCACAATCGCATGAGAGCGCTTTTTCGAAAAAGAAACTGCACTCTAGATGGGGTTCTTTTGGGGAAAAAAATCCTTTTTGAAAGAACCCAAACTCCTGAAAAAATGAGGTGTACGGGTTCTTTCGAAAAAGTTTTTTGTTTTTTTTTCTAATGAAACCCTGTCTAGACTGCGGTTTCTTTTTTGAAAAAGCGCGCTATGTGATTATGCAAATGAAGTACGAGATTTGTAAATCCATGTTTCATTTGCATTTTCGTTCAGGCTCATTTACATTCCTCTTTCAGAAGAGCAATCTAGTTTAGACATAGGCTTTCTAGGATGAAGGAAGGAATATCTTGGGGAATAAATCTTATGGAGCTGTTTCAACAATTATTTGAGTTCTGTCTGTGATGTTTTGAATTTTATTTCTGAAAGGAAGTTTAATGTATGACAGTAAAATATCTTTTTTTTACTACATATCGTAGTCCACACATTAGCAAAAACCTGGTCGTTCATTGCAAAAACTCATTTTAGACTGAGTTCATTCAGGTTTTTATCATAAAGAAAAGTAAAATTTGCTCACTCACACAGAATTTGGGAGGAGAACCAAGCAAAACATGTCACCCAACCCCTTTTGTGAAATGGGAAATATATTTTTGAATTGGAATGGTTTGATTTGAATAGCATTTGGCTTTGTAGAGTAATAGGTAGGGGACCAAGTTAGCAGGTATTTTGTTTGAATTTGATGGTAATATTGTAGGCCTCCAACTTGAGCTGCATGGGTTCAGCCATCATCCGGCTTAGCAGCTGTACTGTCTAACGTGTGCTGCGTTGAATGTGGTCAATACTGTGTAACTTCTGCAAACTAATCAGAGGTCTTCTCACCATTTTTAGTTTTGGAGGAGGGATTTTCTCTGGTGTAGTTTTTTTTTTTTTTAAAACTATATTAGCTGTATTACAGGTAAAGTGGAGATCATGGTATGTAAATGCTGTGAACGGTCCCAGTTCAGGATGGCAGAGAAAGCAGTTTATAGTCACCACCCATTGAAATCAAGTATGTGCTCAGCTGCTTTTCTCAGTAGAAATGTTTTTAGGCACATGCGAAAGAGTTCTCCTGATTGGAGCCTATAATAGGCATCCTCTACAAGTGAGTAATTGCAGTATTGGCAGAAAATTGTATGTAGGATTGATAGTTGTTTTATGTAAGCTGTGTTGCTGTATGAACTAATGCACTAAAAAGCTGTTACTTCACTGAATTGGAGTGAAAAATCTTTTGTCAGAGTGCAGCTGTGTACTTGTGAAGGATGGATATTTTGTTGCTGCATGATAAATATTCTCCTCTGTATTTTTATTATTATACAGAATGTAGACATTTCCAGACCTCCTGAGGAAGCTCTTGTAACAGTCCCTGCTCACCAGTGAACCCGTGTCCAGATCAGCTATCAAACGTGTGGTGCTGTTTCATCCTATTACTTTAAAATACATTTTTAAAAAATCATTCCAATCACTTTTAAATCAATTACAAAAAAATACTTAAATCATTGTACAGCACATAACCTCAACTTGTCCGGATATAGTGAAACTGTAGCCTACTAATTTGCTGTGGATGAATTGTTGAACGTTAATTGGCTGTTTAAATACTGATTTTTTTTTTAAGATTGCTGTAATCCTGTGATCTCACATCTTTAATTTTTAAATTGATTTTTTCATAGCTTCAGTGACCACTGGACACTAGTTGAAGTCTGAAAGCAATGAGGCTTAACATACGCACAAGCAGCACTTGTTTCTCTGACCTTGGGAGTGATTGGACTGTAACTGTAGCAGAAAATAACATTTCCATAGTTAGCAAAAAAGTGTAGTTCTACTCACCCATAGTGCTAGTGTGGTACATAAGCACATTTTAATGGACGTATTTGTGGAGGAGGTGAGCAAATTGAAGTTTAATTTGTTCCAGACTTCAGATATAATTAGGAGAAGTATATGAATAGTTTAATGTGTATGGTTTCTCTTAAAATATATTTTTTCCATTGAGTGGACGGCGGAGTTCCCTGTGTATACAGTAACAATTTTAATTTGTTTTTTTATTTAGGAATTAAGATAGAAACACAGAATCTTAAAGTTCCCTATTCATGGCTTGGCATGCAGCAGCCACACCAATTCTTAGAAGTATGCTGGTCATATGTAGATGACCTTATCAGAGCTTACTTTGGCTACAGTACAAAGAGCATTGGCCATTTCAGATTCTTCGTATCTAGATTTTAATTTGTACTTAAAAAAATAAAAGGGTTGGACAGAGGTTTTCCTGGCACACTCCACCAGAAGTGTTATTAAAACACTTGTATGAAAGACATCACAGGGTTACTACTGGTTGTCAAGCACTCGTTCACCAAGACAATGCCCTTGTCTACAATCCTTAATGCTGCGCAAAAAGAGACTGCAGCTCATTGGACAGCTGAGCATCACTTTGGCCAGCCTAATTGCTTTTGGTGATAGAGATGAAATACAATGTAGAAGTGTCTGAGTGACAGGGACAGCTTTGTTTATATTGCATTAGATCTTGGATAATTGGCTGTTTCATAAGCAATTACTTTTCATGGAAAAGAATAGCACAAGTCCCTTTCTTCTTAAATTGCTTGTTCAGTTAATGTCTGTTTCTCCAGCTTGTGTGTCTTTATGAAAATTTTCATTTTGGTGAAACTAAGAATTTTGCTTTTGGATATAAAAATAACTAGAACATTTACCCGGCATCGCTCGGGTTCTTAACTCAATTAATTTTGGTCTTCTTTTCCCTTTCATTGCTCTGGGATGGAGCTGGGGATGAGGGATTCCATATGCAGGCTTCCCCAGGGAGACAGAACAACCCTCTCTCACCCAGCCCTCTCTCACTGCAGCAGCTTGGGGCCAGGTGAGAAGCACCTCTCCATGGCCACTACAGCTCCAGTGGGCAGAGCCAGGGGACAGGGGAATGTCTCCCAGTGAGGGCAGGTTCATCTATCCCCTGCGCTTCCCAGCCAGAGTGAGGAATGCAGCAAACTCTGCATATTCCCCTCACTCCCTGATGAAGGGGGAACAGCCAGCAATATCTCTGTAAGAATCAGAGGGTGATGAGGCATCAGCAAAGCCTTAAGATACAAGTGGATTTGCTCCAGTCCCTCAGAGTAAACAGCTACAAGATCCTTACCAAGCATTCTTAAAACTTAAATACCCACCTGGGGACATGAGGAAACAGATTGACAGAGCCAGACGAGTACCCAGAAATCACCTACTTCAAGACAGGCCCAGCAAGGAAAATAACAGAACACCACTGGTCATCACCTACAGTCCCCAGCTAAATCCCCTCCAGTGCATCATTGGCAATCTACAGCCTGTCCTGGAAAACGACGCCCCACTGTCTCAGATCTTGGGAGACATGCCAGTCCTCGCCTACAGACAGCCACCCCTCTCCCTGCCCAACCTGAAGAAATACTCACCAGCCGCCGCACACCACACTATAGAAACGCTTACCCAGGAACCTACCTCTGTAACAAATTCCATTACCAACTCTGTCCACAGAGTTATACTAGCGACACCAACCCAGGACCTAACCACATAAGCAGCACCATCAGGGGCTCATGCATCTGCACATCCACTAACATGATATATGCCATCAAGTGCCAACAATGCCCCTCTGCAATGTATATTGGCCAAATCAGTCAGACTCTGCACCAAAGGATAAATGGACGCAAATCAGACATCAGGAATGGTAACACACAAGCCTGAAGGGAAACATTCAGTGATGGATTTAAAAGTAGTCATTCTTTTACAAAGGAATTTTATCACCTAATTACAAAGGCAGACAGCTGAACTGCTGTTAATTTGCCAATTCAGTTCAAATTCAATTTAGGCTTAAATAAAGATCTTAACTGGTAAACATGATACAAGGGCAATTTCCCTGCCTTTGCTATTCACGTTTCCATATCAAACACTATGACTGAGACACATCCAGCCTGATTGAATTAGCAGAATTAACACTGGCCCTACAATTGACAGGTAACTTCTTTTGCAGTTATAATACCCTGGATTCTGTAATTTCCACTCCACCTCTGATGAAGTGGCTTTTTCCCACGAAAGCTCATGATCTAATAATTTGCTAGTCTCTAAGGGTATGTCTACACTACCACCCTAGTTCGAACTAGGGTGGTAATGTAGGCAACCGGAGTTGCAAATGAAGCCCGGGATTTGAATTTCCCGGACAGCCGTGAAATGAGGAGTAACGGTAGTTCGGACTAGGAAGCCTAGTCCAAACTACCTAGTCCGTGCCGCGTGTAAATGCACTAGCGGACATTTAAAAATGGTGGCGCCCGGCTTTATGCAAATGAAGCCCGGGAAATTCAAATCCCGGGCTTCATTTGCAACTCCGGTTGCCTACATTACCACCCTAGTTCGAACTAGGATGGTAGTGTAGACATACCCTAAGGGTGTGTCTAAACTACATAACAGGCTTCCAAGGGAAGTCATGGAATCTTCACCACTGGAGTTTCAGAGAGGTAGCCCTAATAGTGTTTCAGGAGTCCTGTGGCAGACCATGAAAGCTTATGCCCTAATAAACGTGTTAGTTTTTAAAGTGCCACAAAACTCCTCATTGCTTTTGCTCATCACTGGAGGTTTTCCACAGGTTGTTAGATAAATACTTGCCAGGCTCTATCTAGGTATATTTGGTCATGCATCAGCACAGGGGGCTAGACTAGATGACCTCTAATAGGCCTACATTTTTTCCTGTATTGCAATTAGCCAACTCTGACTGAAGCTATGCCATGAGGTTTTTTTTCCCAACATGGCCTAATTCATTTTCTGAAAATATCCTATTAAAATCTCCAAGATCGCTTTCAATGATCGGCAGAGCGGGGCAGCCATTTAAATTTAAATGAAGCCGTGATTATTTAAATCGTGGCTTCATTTCCCTTTGCCGAACAAACAAATCTACATGGCTCTGTCGACGGAGCCATGTAGTCTAGACGTACCCTAATGTGCCACAGCACTGTTTGTTTTTAAAGTTACAGACTACCATGACTTACTTCTCTGAGACTAGTTTTTATTGTTTAGGAGTTCTTAACAGACAGACACACAAACTCAAATATATAGTAGACTGCTATCTCATTAAGAGATCCTGTATAGTACAGTGAGAGGGATTCATTGATAGCTAGCTGATTCCTGCAAATAACCTATTGTACAGATACAATTCTAGTATCAAATTTAAGGTTTCAAGTGATGTTATGTGTCACTGGACAGGACATTAGATTGGGAGTCTGTGTCTGTTGCTGCCATTGGTATTGCAGGGAAGTTGGTTATGTAAACCAGAGAAGTGGGAAAGTAACAAGATAGTGAGTAAGGCTATGTCTACACTGAGAAGGTTTGGCAGCAAAGGTGCTATTGTCATGTAAAAGTCGCCAAAGTGAAAACAAATCAAACAGGTTTTTATGACTCCTATTTTTGACATTTCATGGCTCCATTGCTAGCACCCTGTCAACAAAGCAAAGCAATGTGGGTAAGCATCCCACAGTGCAGTGTTGTGGGAAAGCAGAGCTGATCCCTGCGCACAGGGAGAAAAGCCTGTTGAGAGTCTTTGGTTTAAGTTTAGAGGCAGGAGCAACAGAGGTAGTAGGGGTGGTGGTGTCTGCTATAGACCACCAGATCAGGTGTATGCGGTAGATGAGACTTTCTTCAGACAATTAAGAGAAGCTTCCAGATCACAGGCCCTGGTTCTCATGGGGGACTTGAACCACCCTTACATCTGCTGGGAGACCAATACAGCAGGACACAGACAATCCAGGAAGTTTTTGGAGACTGTTGGGGATAACTTCCTGGTGCAAGTGCCGAAGGAACCGACCAGGGACCATGCAGAGCTTGACCTGCTGCTCACAAACAGGGAGGAGCTAGTAGGAGAAGAAGATGTGGATGGCACCCTGGGCAGCAGTGATCATGAGATGGTTGAGTTCAGGATCCTGACAAAAGGAGGAAAGAGAAGCAAAATACACACCCTGGATTTCAGAAAAGCAGACATTGAGTCCCTCAGAGAAATGATGGGAAGGATCTCCTGGGATGCTAACATGAAGGGGAAAGGAGTCCAGGAGAGCTGGCAGTATTTTAAAGAAGCCTTATTGAAAGCACAGGAACAAACCATCCCAATGCACAGTAAGAAAAGCAAATATGATTGCCTTACCAGGGAAATCCTTGGCAAGCTTAAGCACAAAAAGGAAGCTTATAAGAAGTGGAAACTTGGACAGATGACTAGGGAGAAGTTTAAATATATTGCTCGAGAATACAGGGGAATAATCAGGAATGCAAAAGCACAATTGGAATGGCAGCTAGTAAGGGATGTGAAGGGTAACAAGAAAGGTTTCTACCTTAGCAATTACAGGGTGATCAGAGGGAGTGTGGGGCCCTTACTGGATGAGAGAGGTAACCTAGTGACAG